TCTTTATTTTTATGAGTAGGCTTGTTAACTTTCTTTGTGGTTACCTTGAAATTTACCCTTATCTTTCTAAGTTTGAACCAGTCTATTATTACTTGGTATCGCCTTGCCTTCCTCTCCATTAGAAAGTTCTATACCTACACCGTTTATTCCCTCTTTTATTATTCTGATGTTGTTGTCATTTACAGATTAACCTCTCTGGTTCCTTGTTGTAAATCTTTTGGTTTTGAATAGTCCTTGAGAGTTCATTTCCTAGTTGGTATCTAGCTGGTGCTATCTTGTGTCCTAGATTCAGACTGTCGTCTGATGTTGTTTGTTCTCAAACCTAAGGACACCCTTTAATAATTCTTGTAAATTTGGTTTGATTTTTACATATTCCCTTAATTTCTGTTTATCTGGAAATGTCCTAATTTCACCGTCACATCTGAACGAGAGTTTTGCAGGATATATTGTTCTTGGTTGGCAATTTTTTTCTTTCAAGGTTTTATATATGTCATCCCATTACCTTCTTGCCTGCATGCTTTCTGCCAAGTAATCAGAGCTTAGTCTTATTGTTTCCCCCTGTATGTGACCTTTTGTTTTTCTAGAGCTGCTCTCAGGATTCTTTGTTTGTCTTTGGTTTTAGCGAGTGTGATTATAATATGCCTTGGTTATTTTGTTTTGGGGTCTATCCTATATGGGGTTCAATGAGCTTCTTCGATGGTCAGCTTTTCATCTTTCATGATATTAGGGAAGTTTTCTGTCAGCAATTCTTCACTGATCCTCTGTGTGTTTTCTGTTTTCTCCTATTCTGGAACTCTGATCACTCGAAAATTTTTTCTTTTGAATGTATCCCACATAATTCTCAGGGTTTCTTCATTTTTCTTTGTTCTTTTTTCTGATTTTTCCTCAAACGAAATTTATCCAAGTGTTTGTCTTCAATCTCGCTGATCCTGTCTTCCATCATTTCAAACCTGTTTCTCAGCCCTTCTATGACACTGTCCATTTCTAAAATCTTTTGTTTACCTTTTGGATTTCTAATTGTTGTTTTTGTATGATTTCTAGTTGTGAATTTACTTTCGCACTTTGTTCCTGTATTATTTTCCTGAATTCTTCCATTTTTTGTCTGTATTTTCCATGAATTTGTCAGCCTTATTCGTCTATTTTTTCCTCATTTTTGTCTGCTTTTTGCTTCAACTCTTTGATAGCTCTGAATATTAAAGATTTGAGTTCCCTATCAGGTAGTTCTAGTGGCTTTTCTTCTAGTGGAAAGTCATCTGGTGTTTTATTTTGGATGCCTACTGGAACCATCCTGTCCTCTTTTTGTCAATGTTTTGATATTTTCTGCTGTCTTTGGGACATTCAGTAGATATTTTCCTTGTTTATTGATCATAGATGTATTTGTTTCATCCAGCTTTTTTGTTTTATTTGGTTGTGTCTGAGCAGGCGGGCTGTGCGTTCTTTGTTGTTTGCTCGTCTGTGGACACGATATTTTTTACCTTCTTGTCCAATGGGCAGGGCCAGTTGCTAAGCTGTGGTGCAGCAGGATAGGTTTAGCTGAAGGGGAGGGGCTGGAATGGGTTGTTTGCGGCACATACTGGAGCCAACAAGGTGAGCCGGTGGTCAGTGCAGAGCAGGTTCCAGTAGGTTATGCCTGTGCTGCTTGGGAGTGCTGTGTTTAGCACTCAGTGCCGATAGGCAGGTGGGAGGGGAAGGAGGAGGTTGTGATGTGTGCAGCTAGGTTGGGTATGGGAAAGAAAAGAGAGAGGAGATAGAAACAGGGGCAAAAAAAAAAAGTGCTGAGGGAGCTTGCCGTTGGAGTGAAGAGACAAGAAACCAAGAAATGAAGAAAAAGAAAAAAATGCCCCTAAGAATCCCACTGGCGTGGTTGTGCAGACTTAGGGAAGCAGCTCCTAAGCCGTGCAGTATATCCCGGCTAGAAGAGGTGAAGGTGATACACCACGCCAGGTATTCAGGAGACAGGAAAAGAAGGTAAGTAGAAAGAGACGAGAAACCGAGAAATGAAGAAAAATAAAAAGGAAAAAAGACAGAGAAAACAAAAAAGAAAAAAAAAGTCCCCAGGGATCCCACTTGTGTGGCTGCATAGACTGGGGATGCAGTTCCCCAGGTGAGTGGCGCTTCACCGCCTGTGAAGAACAAGCAGAGATGGCACGTGGAGTTAGGTGTTTGAGTGAAAGGAGGAGGAAGAGGTGAAAGGCAGGGAAGAAACCAAAAGAGACTGAAAAGAGCAACACCAGCAATGGCAGTGAAGAAGCCGGCCGGTGTGCATGGGGCAAATCCCCGTGGCACGGAACTGGCGCCTCCCATGCTGTGGTCACGGCCTGCCAGGAAGCAGTGGATTGGCCCGCCAGGAAGCAGCAGATTGGCCCTCTGGGAAGCCAGGAATCAGCCCATCAGGATGCCGGGAATCAGCCCTCCGGGAAGCAGGGAATCGACCTGCCGGGAAGCAGCAGATCGGCCCTCTGGGAAGCCAGGAATCAGCCCACCAGGAAGCTGGGCATTGGCTCTCTAGGAAGCCAGCAATCGACCTGCCAGGAAGCAGCAAATCGGCTCACCAGGAAGCCGGGAATTGGCCCACCCAGAAGCAGCAAATCAGCCCTCCAGGAAGCTGGGAATTGGCCCACTGAGAATCTGCAGATTGGCCCTCTGAGAAGCAACAAATTGGCCCACTGCAAAGCTGCCAGTCAGCCAGCTGGGAAGCGTCCGTCAAAGGTTGAGCAGGGGAGAGGGAGGGGGGAGGGTGGGAAAGTGTGTCTTGCCTGTTACTCGGTGCTCTGTCTCCTGCTGGGAGCTCTGTGAATCTGCTTTCCCGTACTCCCTGTCGGCCAGTCTCCGACAGGAGTCCAAGATGGTGGATCCGTGCTGCGTTAGCTGATAGGGGCCCTCCACTCATAACTCTCCTCACTCTCTGTTCTCTGTCAGTTTCTTATTCCATTTGGTGCTTGGTTGAGTTCTTTGTCTCTTGACGCTTAGGGTTCCAGGATTGACGTTTATCCCTGTTTTAGTTTTTTGGGTCTTTGTTGTGGAGGGACAGCGTGGTGCTTCGGTCTCTAGTGCCATGTTGGCTCTGCCTCTGTCTATTCTTTTTCAGTTAAAATACCTAGTGAAGTTAATGTAGAAACTAAGGCTTTTGATTTTAAATTCAGTTGCCTGGAACATATTTTTAATAAACTGAAAGCATCTGTATCATAAGGTATGAAATACATTGAATACCACATTCTGAAAAGTTACATAGCCATTTAGTTTTTAACATAGGGATAAAATAAAGACAGTAAAAGAGAACCAGTTTCATGCCTTTGTAATTATGTATAAAAAATGTGTATGTATAGATACAGGTTTCCTCTGCTATCCAAATGTAGGGCGTTCCTGTGAAACCTTTGTTAAGCCGAAATGGCATAAAGCAAAGAAGCAAGTATGTTTAATTTAAATGGGAAAAATTGTTGAGCATTCCCAGACCCAAAAAATAACCTACCAAATCATACCAAATAACACGTAAAACCTAAAATAACACTAACATATAGTAAAAGCTATGGTGGCTTGATGCTGAGTGTAGTTCCCAGGGAAGGAGCTTGACGAGGCCACTTTACTGCTTGGGATGCACGCTACCTTTTTAATAGCTAGCTGCAAAGCAAACGCTGAACACTATTTCCACTATTAGCCTTTTTTTTGTAAAAGCTAAAATCCTCTTCAGATTTCTTTCGTTTAATGAAAACAAGTACTAATGTAGGTCTTTTGTAAAAGCAAAGTGGCATAAAGCGAACTTTCAGAAAGCAGGAGGATAGCTGTATGTGTATGTGTGTGTGGGATACCTGTATTGTGTGTGTGTGTGTGTGTGTTTGAATACACATACATAAGTGCTCAGCTGCTAACTGAAAGGTCCACCAGCCACTCTGTGGGAAAAAAAATCTAACAATCTGCTCCTGTCTCCTATAAAGATTACAGCCTAGGAAACCCTATGAGGCAGCTCTGCTATGTCATAAAGGGTTGCCATGAGTCAGAATCAACTGCATGGCAGACAACAACAACAATGTATATATATAGTCCCTGGGTGGTACAAATGGTTAACGCACTTGGATGCTAACCAAAAGTTTGGCCGTTTGAGTCTACCCAGAGGTGCTTTAGAAGACAGGCTGGTGATCAGCTTCTCTAAGCCACTGCCAAATCCATATAAATATAAAGTAGATTAGTGGTTGTCAGCAGCTGGGAGTAGGGGGAATGAGGAGTAACTGCTAACGGGTATGAGGTTTCTTTTGGATGTGATGAAAATGTTTTAGAATTAGATAACGGTGATAGTTGCACAACTCTGAATATTCTAAAAATCACTGAATTGTATAATTTCAAGGGGTAAATTTCATGGTATGTGAATTATATCTCAATAAAGCTGTTATTAAAAAAACAAGCCATTGAAAACCATATAGAGCACCGTTCTACTCTGACACACGTGGGGTCTCCGTAAGTTGAAATTGACATGACTGCAACTGGTTACTTGTTATATCCATCCATCCATCCCTGGGTTGTGCAAATTATTTGCGCTCGACTACTAACCTAGCAGTTGGCAGTTCAAACTCACCGAGTAATGCCACGGAAGACAGGCCTGGCAACCTGCTGCACAGATTACGGCCAAGAAAACCCTCTGGGGCAGTTCTGCTCTGTAATGAGGTTGCCATGTGAGTCTAAATCAACTTGACAGCAACAGGCTTGGTTTTTTCTATATTACATATATGTAAGCATATAAATTTCTAAGGCACAAAAAAGTGCTTCACCAGAAAAGATGATGCTTCAGGATCCCTCATCAGTTGGAAGTACACTGGAGGTCCTCCAGTAGTGGTGGTGAAGTTGTGTGGATCCAAACACCCACCCTCAGGTACCTGCCCTTTACATAACTGTTTGGAAAGGAGGTCAGATGGCAAGCTATTGGTGATTTTGGAAATAATTTATAGTAAAGGCACTGTCCCCTCTTTTTTGCTAATTACTTACTATTCTTCTTTCATATTTAATTTCAGACGAGCCATCTATGATGCATTTGAACGCTTTCTCCATAAATATGCTAACTAATTGGATCACTGTATGTTACCAGTGTGGCCATCATGTGTCTTACAAAAAGGAGTTTTCATCCTCTGATGTGAAGAACAAGCAGACAGCACTATAGATTTAACTATTTCAGTGTAATCTGGAATTCAGTGTTGCAGCTCAGTTAACTATAAATGTTAAATACATTTGAATCACTTTAAACCAATATTCGGATTAAATAATGTTGAAGTACTTTGCTGTTGTTTGTGGGATCTCATATACTCAGTATCTAGGCTGTTGTTACTATTTATGAAACTTTTAAATTTTTAATTATGAATAATTTATTAGTTTTAAATAAATTCACTCAGAAACCCTACTTTTTTTTTTTTTAAATAATATTGTGTTTTGGGAGCCCTGGTGGTTTAGTGGTTAAGAACTTGGCAGCTAACCAAAAGGTTGGCAGTTTGAATCCACCAGCTGCTCCTTGGAAACAAACCCTATGGGGCAGTACTAGTCTGTCCTATAGGGTTGATACGAGTTGGATTCAACTCGATGGCAATTGGTTTGGTTTTGGTTTATTGCGTTTTAGGTGAAAGTTTACACAGCAAATTAGGTTTCCCTTTAACAAATTTATACAAATTGTTCCCTGCCATTGGTTACAATTTTTACAATGTGCCAGCATTCTCATTATTTCCATTCTCTTTGTTCTGTTTCCATTGATCTCCTACTGGTTTTTAATAAACTGCTAAATTAAGCTAAGTTTGTAACACTTCAGCCTGAATTGTATACTCTTACAAGAAATTTCTGTTACTGACTTGATTTGAGAAAGATGTTTCTTTCTTTTTTGGATCCATGGTAAATTTATAATGTTGTTTTCAACATTAGTTAATATTCTGTTATGGAAATACTTATGATGTGTAAAATCGGTGTTACCTTTGAATTCTAAAAAATCCTTATTGTAAGTGCTTTTAATAGAATGCTGAAATGCAGAGAAAATACATAAGACTTGACTAGACTTTAGAACTTTGCCAAATATTAGGTTATGACAAAATGCCAAATGTATTTCCCCTACTTGAAAAGTTTCAATTCAGGCAAAGTAGAAATAATAGGAAACCTGTTGAATAATTGATGGATACTGTCTCCAATATTGTGTACCTACTCTGGGTTTGCAGATATCTAACTTTAATACTTAACAACTTTGGCTTTTTAGTTTCATAATTTAATAGCCACATATAAAATTGATTTGTCGCATAGTAACTTTATAGAAAAGACAAAGTTTTACATAATAACTACTAACTTTTTTAAATGAGAGAGTTTATGGCTAGATTTGGTGCTTTCTCTTTTTGTTAAACTTCTCAACCAGCAAGTTAAAATGTTAAAAAAAAAATAGAAAATATTTTTGATATCTTGTGAAGGTTTGGAGTGAATGTATTTGAGTTTCATTTTTTGAAATCTGTTTTGTCTGTGAATTATTTTTAAATGTGTATTCTCATTCTTTTAAGAATATTTGAATATTCCTTTGCAGCCTTTTTAAAGGAAATTTTGTCACTCTAATGCCTCCATCATTTTAATTTCATTTGACACTATGAAAAATTATTAATGTGAAGCCCTTGGTGGCAAAGTGTAGCAATTTCTTTAAAACTGCGTTGGCATGACAAACCAACACAGTACGACTATTTGAATTATTCTGCAAATATATATGTTGACTGGAACCTTTAGTTTTAACTGAAGTTTTTCCACAAAATAGCTTTGAAAGATAATGTAAAACTTGTTGTCAAATGATTGACAAGTATTTGCCTATATAATGTATTTACTGAGGTGACATGATTGAATACTTTGCCTAATCAATGGCTTTAGTAATGCCAGTACTACTTTTCACGTAAACATTTCTTATTAAGCAATAATGTACCAAGGTGTGTGAGTTTCTATTATTAAAAGAATAAAATTTCATTTACTTGTAATTAACTCGTAGGCATAACTAATTTTTCACAAATAAATGTGAAAAAGGATATTTTTAAAATAAAAATTTCATCTCTTAACCAGACGTTTTAAAAATATAGCCACATGACAGCTTAACTTGATGAGTTCAAAGTGTGAAATAACCTTTTCTTAAATTTTGAAAACAAATTTACCCTTCCCAAAACAGTGGCTTAAGCTTTAAGATATACATATATATATACACACACATGTCAGATGAGTGATGATTTGTCTGCTAGAAATTCATTTAGACCAGAGTTGCAAAGTGTCGGTCTTTGCAGGCTAGTTTGGCCCACAGTTGTTTTATTTGCTGGGTGTAATGTTCCCAAAGATTTTGAATTTGAAAAGACTTCCAATTGGGCATGCACTCCCCGGTCTGCTCTCCACAGTCTACTAGACTTCCTCTTTTCTTGTATCAGACTACTTCATTACTTTGTGTGTCCTACCCAGTCCCTGAAGGCATCTGAGTTTGAGATCTCTGATTTACATCTGTAGTTAGACCAAGTCTGAATTTCATGATTTGCTAATGCTATAATTACTGTTAAATCATTTCAATGTATGCATTTTAGGTTGTTTTTTATGAATGTAATTTCCTCAGTGTGGTGCTTTCTCTCATAAAGAGTACTGAATTCTTAACAATGTAACTGAAATTTTAAAAATTTCCAATTATTTTATACTTCACAATAAAAGTCTTTAAAGAGTTATTTGGTTTTTCAAGATGTATTATTCTAAGTACAGAAAACGTGTCACATTTGATTAATGTACCCAAACTTGAACTGAGTGTATGCCCCAAACAAGGCAGAAGATAAGCAAGGTAGGCTCTAGCAGAACAGTATTAGTATCTCTATAGCAAGAACCCAGTTTTCCCCAAATATGTATGATCTAAGGGAAAACAAGCGTTCTGACAGACCATAATTATCTGAATGTTGTATAACTCATTATTGGATATGATTATATTTATACTAATAAATGTACTGCGACAAAGTCTAGGGATGTGAACTTAACCGTAGGACTTGGTAGGCCTGGAAATTGGGGTGGGGGAGGGCTGGGTGGAGGTTGCTATAGAAACTGAGTTTGAAAATATAAGATTATGGCAGATAACACAAGGGGCGGGGGAGGATACTTTGGGCATTTTACAGGAGTAGGATAACCTAATTCTAGGAAAATTCATGTAGGCAGAATCCTAGGAAACCCATGATTGTTTGAAGGCCTTTGAAAAGTTTTCACTAGAAAATGTTGGACCAAAAACCCAGAAAGATTTTCCTCAGGACTGAAAGACCAAGATTGTGTCAGTTAGGAGAAGAAATTGTAAACAACTGTAAAAGCCTAATCTGTGTATAAACCTGTGATCCACAGAGGTAAAAGTTTTCCTATGTACAGTACCTGGATAATTTCACAAAGAAAGAAAGAAAAATTTACTGTAGCTCCTTGCTACTCAGAGTGTGGTCAGTGGATTGGCAGCATCCCCTGGGAGCTTGTTAGAAATGCAGAATCTCAGGTCCCATCCCAAACTTACTGAGTGAATCCTCACTTGAACAAATCTCCAGATGGTTCAAATATTAAATTTTAAAAAGGACTCCCCTAGAGTCTGGTTCTCAAACTGTATCAGAATCATCTACAGTCTTGTTAAAACAGAGCTGGACACAATCCCCCAGAGTTTCTGATTTAGTGAGTCTTAGGGTAGGGTTGGGAAATTTGCATCTCTAACAAGTTTCCTGGGATATTGATGCTGTCTATCCATGGGTCACACACACTTTGAGAACCACTGCTCTGGATGGATCTCAAGCCCAGCTGCCCAATAAAATCACTTGGGGAGTTTTTTTTTTAAAAAAGCTCAGGCTTCACCCCAGAGATTCAGACTGAATTGGCTGAGGTAGGTTTTTTGTTTTTTTTTTAAGGTCTCTAGGTATTTCTTAAAAAACAATATTCCATAGCTACAACTTTTAGAACAGAGATGCACAGCACACAGCTATGCTTTATCTTCTCAGCTTAACTTTGCTGACTTAACTTCCACCAATAACTTAATTCAGTGGCCCCTAAATTCAATTTAGAGGTATCTAAAAACTCAAAATTACAAAATCACACATTATTTCTACCATCCAGATTTCCCCAGCATCTGCCAATCTGTTTTTTATTCATTTTACTGTCTTTAAAACTGTGGTATAATATACACAACACAAAATTTGTTGTTTTGACCATTTTCAAGTTACATTCCAGTGGCATTAATCACACAATGTTCTATCTGCTTCAAAAACTTCTCCATTACCCCAAATAGGAACGCTGCACCCATTAAGCAATAACTGCCATGTCCCCCTGCTCCCAGCCCATGGTAACCACTAATATAAACTTTGGTCTCTGCATTTTTCTATTCTAGATACTTCATATAAATAGGATCACATACTATTTGTCCTGTGTATCTGGCTTATTTCACTTAACATAGTGTTATTAAGCTTCATCCATGCCATAGCATATACTAGAACTTCATTCTTTTTATGGCTAAATAATCTATTGTATGTATATACCACATTTTGTTTATCCATTCATCTGTTGATGGACACTTTGGTTGTTTCCACCTTTTGGAGATTGTGAAAAATGCTGTAATGAACATTGGTATACAGGTATCTGAGTCCTTGCTTTCAAGTCTTTTCAGAATATACTTAGGAGTGGAATTGCTGGGTCATATGGTAGTTTTATGTTTCACTTTTTGAGGAACCGCCAAATTGTTTTCCACAGCAGCTGCACCATTTTACAGTTGCATCAGCAATGGATAAATGTTCCAATTTCTCCACATACTCACAAACACTTGTTTTCCATTTTCTGATCACAGCCATCCTAACGGGAGTGAAGTCGTATCTTAGTGTGGTTTTCCTTTGCATTTCCCAGTGACTAATGATGTTGCATGTGCTCATTGGCCATTTGTATGTCTTCTGGATGAAATTTCTCTTCAAGTCCTTTGCCCATTTTTTGATTGGGTTTTTTTGTTGTTGCATTGTAGGAGTTCTTTATATACTCTGCATATTAAACTCTTACCAGATACATAGTTTCCGATTATTTCTTCCATTCTGTAGATTGTCTTTTTACTTTCTTGGTGTCTTAGTTATCTAGGGCTGCTATAACAGAAATACAAGTGGGTGGCTTTAACAAAAAGAAATTTATTTTCTCACAGTTTAGGAGGTTAGAAGTCTGAAATCAGGGTGCTGGCTTTAGGAGAAGGCTTTTCTCTCTCTGTTGGCTCTGGAGGAAGGTCCTTGACTCTTTGAGCTTCTGCTCCTGGGCAGTCTTCGTGTGGCTTGATATCTCTCTTGCCCCATCTCCGCTCTGCTCACTTGTTTAATGTCTTTTATATCTCAGAACAGATTGACTCAAGATATACCCTATACTAATCCTGCCCATTAAAATAACAAAGAAAACCCATTCCCAAATGGGATT